TACGCCGGGGAGGGGGCTGCGCGGGGGGTGCCAGCCTCATGGTCACCGATCGCATCTCCTTCAGAGACCTGAATTCTTGCTCCCGAAGGGTTTTATGAGGGATGGGTCTTGTCAGGGCTGTCAGCCCATCGGGCCACAGCCCCAGCCCGCGCGCACCGGTCGGTTGCCTATAGACTGTGTACATCTCGCCTGTGTGCCGTGCCGGGGCGGGTGCCATCTGGCGCGATGGAGGTCGTGCACATGGGCATCCCCCTTACTGTAAACGTGTGTGTGGGGCTTTCTTGTGTTTAAAACATTGCTGTCGGCCGGGCTGGCTGGAGCAGAGTGGAGCCCACCGGGAATGTCAGCCCCAGCACTGCAGCTCGGCCGTGTCCAGGGGCCTTTGCAAGGGAAGGGTTGATATTGGCATTAAATTGTGTCCCAGCACCGGGTGCAAAGTGGAAAAGGAGCAGCAAAGGTGCATTTCTCCTGCATCTTTGCAGAGCACGAGCATGGGTTTTGAAAGGAGCTCCTGCTTAATAGCCTTGATTTAAGAGTTTCAGTATTCCCAGGGGATCGAGACTCTTCTATCTGTGTTAGGGATGTGCAGTAATCCCCGGGGCCACTCCGGAAGGCTTAGCTCTTTGCTTAATCCCCCTGAGGGTCCCGTGGTGTCTGAGATGCCAGCAGTGGTCTGTGAGCCGGCGTGGGTATCTGCTGGGACAGGCTGCAGCACATGATGGGGCTTGGTGAGACTGGACGATGCCACGCAAGATGTGATGTAAGATACTTAGTGCTGGAAGCTTAAAACATTGCTTAGAAACGCGTCTGACGGGGATTTGACAGGCACGGAGCCTTTTCAGTCTCTATATGCTTTTTAAAAACTGTGTTCTCTCCTTCGTTACAGCCGTGTGTTTATGTTCCTCTTTGTGGAGGACTTTGATGGACTTGTGAAAAATTGGACATGGGAACGTGCGCTTTTTCAAAGACGTGGGGTTTCTGTTGGGCGGTCGAGGAGCTGGTGATGGGGTTTGGTTGTTGTCTGTGCATTGCTGTGCAAGGTCTCCAGAGCCAGGAGCTCCTGTTTTGGGCTCTGAAGCATTTGTTGTGCTCGTGATCCTTGGGAAGAAAATACTGGGTAATTGCTGCTTGGAAAAAAATGGTCAGGAGGGAACCTGAAGTGAGATGAGATTTATGAGTTACACCTTACAAAAGGACTCCGAATGGATTCTCCACTGAGCCTGACGTATTTGAGTAAGGATGTGAAGCCAGACGTGTGTGTTGACATCTCCTTCAGATGTCGTTGGGCTTCCCCCAGCAGCACGAGAAAAGCTTGATTTTAGAGAAATTAGAAAGGCTTGTTTCTTCTTCAGGGTGATAACAGCAGCCGGGGGTTATTGATGGTTGTAACAATAAGCATGGAGGCAGCGCTTCGTGGCAATCCATCACTCTGACATGTCCCTGGTGTGATCTGGGCAGGGAGAGGCGTTCTGTGCCAAGGAAACAAAAGTCTCTCCCATTACAGCAGCAAAGAGAAATCCATAAACCCATCCTGAGGTCCTGGTCGGGGGTCGCACCTCAGGACCCTCCACACAGCAAAGTGCTGTCCGGGGACTCGTTACTGGGGTGGGGGGGAGGCTTGGGAGCTGCGTGGGCTGGTCTGAGGGTGAACGAGGGTGAATCACTGCAATAAAGCTGCATTCTCGTTTGTGGATACTGGATAATCAGGGAAAAATAATCTTCAAGTTTACTTGATCTGAGCCCATAAAGCTGAGTACACAGCCACGTTTCTGGTGTGTTTCTGTTGGCCAAGCGGATTTTGCTGCTCAAAAGAAGAATGGAAGGAAAACAGTGTCCATATTCCAGAGACTCACAGACTGCCTGAATACACTGGAGGGAAAAGGGGGATTGAAAACATAAGAAACTTAAATTAATAGCTGGCATAGTTGGAAGTCATTAAATGGTATTATCAAATGTAAGCAAACTCAAAGCATCAGAGAAATAGCTGCTTTAATGTCACCTAGTTAAGTACTGCTGCCATGTAATACCAGGCATTAATAATTTGGGCTTTGATCCAGCAAAGTACTTAAGAGCACGTTACGTTTGGGTCCCAGATTAGCCTCCAGACCCCGCTGAAGCTGGCAAAGGCCTTGGCTGGTCTCGGCAGCACCAGGAGTTTGGCCCCTGGTTTTAGCAGAGCTGGTGGATGGGTTCTCTGGGGGCTGTTGTGCAGGTAGCGTTACCT